AAGACTTTACCTTGTCTACATTCATTCTGTGAGCACTGTCTGGAGGGATTACCTCTGGATAAGAAGAATGAGACCTATTACCTCTCTTGTCCCACTTGTCGTCATTGTACAGAGTTACCAGAAGAAGGAGCAAGAGCCTTTCCTGTAGCATTTCATGTAAACAGCCTCAAAGAGATATACAGTCTAATGAAGAAAGTAGCTGATCCTGAACAGGTCACCTGTGACAACTGTACTACAGCTAATGCCACTGGATACTGCAAAGACTGCAGTAAGTTCCTTTGTCAAAAGTGTATGGACGTACACAAGATTTGGGGTCCAATTGCTCACCATCAGCTAACAAGTTTTGATGAGGTGACAGCCTCTGATGTCTCTTCTACTTCTCAATTGCTAGCTCCAGCTAAACAGGAGGCAACCCTCACTTGCTCCACTCATAACAAGAAAATGAAGCTCTACTGTGAAACATGTGATAGTGTTATATGTCGTGACTGTACAGTCCGTACTCATAAAGACCATGAGTATGACTTAGTCTCTGCCAGTTATACTAAACACTGTCAAGAATTGGAAGGTTCTCTTAATCCGGTAAAAGAGAAAATTGAAGGACTGAAGAAGGTCCTGTCTGCTCTAGCAGAGAGAGAGGGTGAGATCAGAGAGAGAGGAGAAGGAGTCTTAGAAGAAATACATGAAATGGTAGAGGAAATGATGAATGTTCTTCGTGAGTCAGAGAGGAAACTGACTGAGCAGGCAAAGAGGGTCACTGATGATAAACTAAAGGTGCTGTCAGAGCAAATGAAATCAGCAGAAAAGAGTTTGCATCTTCTGGAGGATGTTGAGGATTATGTAGAACAGAGTCTGAAGACAGGCAGTCCTCAACAAGTCCTGAAGTCTAAGAAACAGATGATGGAGCGTATGAGTGAAGTTACTGGAGGGATCAATGTGGAGGAGTTACATCCAAAGGAAAAAGGTGACTTTGTATTGAGTAAAGATATCAAATCACTACATCACATTGGAGATATTATCTCACTACAGCAGTATAGAGTGAAGAAGATTGATCGTATTAGACCTGCTGGCAAAGCAGTTTCATTTTCACTATCAATGGAGGCACCAGATTCATCTGTTTTGTGTGTTCCCCTCTCTTCTCTGAGGTGTAGTCTAGTACCAGTTGATAAAAGTGATGAACCCATTGACACTACAGTCACTACCACCAGCACTGATCCTGGAGTGTATAGGATACAGTGTAAC